TCTTTTCTTTCTCTTCTACCCCTACCTTCTGTTTCCATGTTTTCACAAGTTCCATATCCTCTGTGACCTCCTAACCATAGCTAGGCTAGAGACTCTCCACAAGCTTTTCGTTTTCCTCTCTACATTTTTCTTGGAAAACTGCACAACTTATAATATTTCCACACCTCCAAAAAACACTTCCAGAAAAGTGATTCTAAAGTTCTTTTCTCTAGCCTTGGCCTCTCCCATGCAGCCCAAGTCCATTGTTTGATGGCATCTCTATGCTGACATCCCACCAGCATCTCTAAGCCTATCATCAGCCCCTCCTCCTTAGGAAGTCCTTTCTCTTACTCCAGAGTTCTCTGTTTGGGTCATTTGTGGCAAGAGCACTTCTAGAAGTGGCTTCTGATTTTGTGGACACAGGTAAGAGGCCTTACAGAGGAAAGTTACTCACAAAGGAATCTTAAAGCAAGGGAACATAAATGTTTTTGTTTTCCACCTGCTACCCAGGACTTCCCAGCATTCTCAGGGGAAGGACTTGAATAGGGTTTGATGTTCCCATAGTGAAAAAGTGACTGGGTTGCATACAATAGAAGGAATGCCTCTGCTATCTGCCTGTCTCCCCAACATTTCATCTGATACCTATTTTGTGTCATTTATACAAAAATATGGTCCAAAGTTCTATAGGTTCTACCTTCCTAATAGTTCCTGAATCTGCCCCTTCCTGATGCACTCTTTTTCCTGTCGCCTGACTTAATGCCTCCCAGAACATTAGTCACAATTAGGTTCCTTTCACCTGCGTTTCTCATTTCATTCCCCTTCTGCAAATCCATCCTGCACTTTGTCCTCAGCCTCTTCATCTTCAGTTTTCCCCTCCTTTAATCTACTCTTTACACAATGATATCTTTTTAAAACTCTGTAGCTGCTGCTTATAGGAGGTAGAATGAATAACTGGGACTCCACTAAAATGTTTATTTCTAAGTGTTCCTTTGCCAAAAGAGTGTGAAGGAAACCACCAGTGAACGAGAGATTTCACCAGGTATTTAGGAGAGGGCAAGCTTAGGAAAGCACGCCAGAGGGAACAGGGGTGGCCACAGGCAGTGAAGGAGGCAGATGTAGTGAAGAAGGATCTTGTAGGCAGAACCTCTGAGAGGCTCTGGGCTCGGGGTTGGCAGATGTAGGGGTCAGAGAAAGAAAGTATATACATGCTTGCTCCCATGTCCTTTGCCCAAATCTAGAGCTCAGGCAACTCGACTTTAACCCCTGAGGTGGGGGAAACTTTGAAGAGATCATCTAAAAAGCTAAGTTCTAGTGCTGAAGTTTTCCATGTGGTAAAATAGAGGGTATGGGCACCCCAGAAAGAACCATCCTTATTCTAGTGTTTGAGGTGTCTGTGCTCCAGGATAGCTTCTGCCAACTCAGTCTTGAGACACTGCGCATTACAAATGGACAGTGGCCAGAAGTATATAAAAATAGAATTCTAACCCATTCTCTGCAGTAGTCAGCCAAGAAAGCCAGCCTACTATTTTTAAGTCAGGCTTACAGGAAGTTAGACCACCATCTCTAGCAACCAACCCAGGAAACCTACTTATCTGCCTCAAATAGCAAGGATTTGATTAATAACTGATAGCTTATTTTCATCCCTGCTTCCAACTGAGGGTCAATTAGAGAAAGCCAAATATGCACCTCTAACAATTACATAGGATGCCCGGCTGCTAGTTAGCACCTACAACTTCCGCAGACCAACTGCCTCAATCAGGGCACACCTGAAGCTTTCCCCCTATTCTGCCTGCCCTTGAGTCTCTGCCAAAATGCCAGCGATGGTGGCTGACTCTCTTGTTACAGCAAGCTCTGAATAAATAGCCTGTGCATGTTCTCATTGGTTGGTCTTCCTCAGTTTCCATACTCCAAAGCAAACTCTTCTGGTCAATAAACCTTCCCCATACACCCAGAATTCCCCATCAACTTTGGTAGTTGGAGGAGAGAAAAACCCCAGATATAACCACGGAGGACAGCCTCATCAGCTACCTAAGAAAAATCAACGCAACCCCACCCTCATTTTCAAATGTGGACAGCCAGCCAAGGTCACCGGCAGCGTGCAGGAAAAGATCAAGATGAAGAGAGCAGAGTGACCTTGGAGGAAACAGATCAGAGACTAGAAACTGGCTTTTAAAAAATTCTAATTAGAATTTCCGTGAGATTTGAGAAAATATTACATCCCTAAAACCAAAAAGAGCAGGCTGTGAAGAACAATGGAATAAAAAAAAAAGTCTCTGGAAAAGTAAAGGTAGATTGCCAAAATTAAAGATTAGAAGATTAAGTTGAGAAACTCTAAGAACAGAGAGTAGAAAATAGTCTGAATGTGTGGCAGGAAAGATAAGCCACCTTTTGTAACTTTTTCATAGCTGAATCCAGGAATGGTTAGAAGTGAGTGCCTTTAGGAAGGACCCTGGGGCTGAGGGGCTGCCTGGCTGCCTCTGTTGATAGGTTTTAGAGACTCTCTGACCTTTGTGTTTTAGTTGTGTGCATGGATCACTCTGATTAAAACAATTTATCTGCAGATCTGACTGTCCCACTCTACTATTTAAACCCATAGCTCCTCCCAACCAGATTCAGGGAGACAGCTCAGTCGTTTTGCTGACCATAACCTGCCATGAGCTAGCCTCCTCTCCCTCCACTCCCCACCTCTGCTCCAGCCCCTCTCAACCACTTACCAGGATGTTCTGTGTAACCCTTAGGAGTCAGATGGTGGGGTTAGACTTACCTGCTTTCAAACTTACATACACTTCAGTCCTAATTTGGAAAATGGGGGTACAAGAGTCCCTCTCAATGCATTTATGAGGATCAGATGAGCTAATGTGTCTGGAGTTTAGCAGAGCCCCAGACACAAAGTGATTGGTAAACAGTGACAGTTATTAGGGCTCCCAGAACTAGTCTTATTTTGTCTGTCTCGATTTTAGCCCTACTTGACTACTTTCTAATACTTATACCTAAATATACTTCTAAAAAGTCATTACACTCTCAGTTTTATTACCAAGCACACTGGCTGAGACACTGAAGTCCTGAATTCTTAGGAAATTTTATCTATATCATATATATTTTTGAAGCTACAATTTATTGATTGATTATGAGCAATTAAAAGTTCTGTTTCATATAGTTCATGCCTTAGGGACTTGGCTGGGTTTTGTCTAGCATTTTCTTTCTGTTCTTAACAAAGGGACCCCTTCACCAAGGCTCCAGCCTCACTCTGTTGATGCTGGGGTTCTTGTTCACAGGGCTGAAGAATGAACTTTGGAACAGTCAAGGTAGGAGAGCAAGGCAGAGGCTTTTATTTAGAGAGAAAGCAAAAAGACAGAGCTCCTGGATCAAGCCAGGAGGGGACAAGGGAGTCCCGGGGTGGTGGGTTGTCTAGGGGTTTAATAGACAATTGAGAGACAAAGGGCTCAGGATGTAAGCCTGCTAAGTGGTCTCAAATACCTTTGAAGAAACATTAAGTTTCTTATTAGTCTTCCTGGTTATTTACAAGAATTTTACTGCTCTAATTTCCTCCCAGGACAGCAGCTTCCTGGTCTGGGAGCATATCATTCAAGACTGCCTGCTTTGCTCCCAGGGTGGGCTGAGTTATTGTCTTACTTTTTAACTAACTGAGTTTCAAGATGGAATCCTTCCTGTTTTTTCACTATGCTGTTTTGGGCTTGCAGTAGTTTTGGGCTTGCTTGCTGCATTGCCCAAGTTGCAACAAATCATTTGTTTAGGGCTGGAGGAAAAAAAGCAGCACTTGGGTAGAGTCAGAAAAATAAGCTGGGCCCCCAGCAGGCCAAAGCCAATCTCACAATGGTTATTTTGCTTTGTCTTTTTCCAGAGGCCCTCACCCTCTCTGCCTAAGCCCATGGTCCCTGTCTATGAGGTCTTCCCTGGGGTCCATCCCTGGCCCATCCACTGTTCTTGCAGACTTGCAGTGCCATGCTTTGTCATCACTGCAGCTGTCTGTCTCCACACTGGTGCCTTTTCCTACTCCAGACTTCCTGGGGGGAAGGACTCTCTTCATTGGTTTTAGAACTCAAGTGCCCTTCCTGTAACAAAGTTGGCGCAGTAACGGGCATCATTCAAGGAGCCCACGGGAGGACTGGAGGTGGAGTTCAACCCATGAACAGGGCTTGCTGGTGTCTGGCAAGAATGAGGGATAGAAAAGCCAACTAACTTGGGAGGAGACCTATTAGAAACCTTTTGTTGAAGAAAAGGTTGTGGGTAGGCATCATATATGCTGGGAAGATGCTGGGCTTCAGGCTCTGGAAAGGTATGAGTTAGGGGGTCACCTGCCAGTGTCCTTACATCAGGGACATGTCCTCTCAGAGTGTCCTCGGAGCCAGATGTGACTCTTCTGTCTTGTTCTTTAGGACATGGCACTGCCTGAGAAGCACAGATTATATCCCAACAAACAATGGCCCTGGCTTTTTCCTTTTTCTAAATTAAATTATCTGATAAATAGTGACAGTTATTATAATACTCCAACTAGCTCATTCCTCTCAATATAGAGGGAATCCGAGTCTCAAAGTAAAGGTGGAAGGATTTTTCAAAAGTCATATAGAAAGTGATAAAGTCGGATTAGAATTTGGGCCTCCAAAATTCCAGACCAGTGTGTTATGGTTCTGGGGTTAAAAGGAAGAAGGAAAGCCGGAAGTAGTTGAGGTAGCTGCATCAATCTTGGTATCCAAAATAGAGTCGATGGTCTGTGTGGCCCCATTCTCACCCTGGCTTTGGGTCTTTTGTACAGTATATCACTTATTGAAAAAAAAAAAGGAGGGAGAGTATTCCTTTATATTGAAATACTGAAAGTATTCCCATCAGGGGGGTGTTTTGAGGATATAAAGAGAGGGCCTGACATGAGTTTAGTTCATCATCGTTATGAAAGTAACAACCAGCTTTGAGATGTCATGCAGCAGGAATACTGGCTCCTTTGTGCAGCTTAACCCCGACTGTAGAGCTAGGACAGAGTGGGACATGCAGAGAAGAAAGGCCAACTACTGCTTTATTGGAGGCACCACTGTGGGACAGGACGCCAGGCTGTCACCATCAGCTCTGCCAGGGCAGGGGTGGGTGTGCACTGGATGAGAAGGGCCTGCGGCCCCACGTCAGAGCCCCACCGTCCTTAAAGGCAGGAGTAGGGGAGGTCACCTTGGCACTCCCAGCCTGTGGCTGCCTTCCAGGCAGGGAGTGACAGAGCAGAGCAGTGGAGGGGGGAATAAAACCAAATGTCAAGGCTCAGACACCAGCTGCTGAAGCCTCAGTGTCCCATAAACCCCTAGCCTGGATGGCTGTGTTCAAGGAAGGGCCTGAGAAGGGCTGCTATGGCTTGGCCGGGCTGGAGCTGGAGGAACCATGGGAGCTGGAGTGCAAGGGGCTTGAGGGGCTCTCAGGAAAGGAATGACAGGAACAGAGAGAAGGCCATGAGCGTGTAGGGGACTTCCCAGGATGCACCAGAGCTGGCAAAGAGGCAGGCTACAGCCACGTTGGGGTTGCCCTGGGCAGGCTCAAACCACTTCTGCAGACACCGCCCACTGCTCCTGCGCTCAGGGCTTGCCTTGAAGGAGCCGCTCCAGATCTTCTCACACAGGTCAGCTGGGGTGGGGAAGTAATAGGGGAAAGGGTGGCAGAGGGCCCTCGCGGGGCAGCGATTCTTCCCTGCGGGAGATGGAGGCACAGACAACTTACCTACCTTGACTCCCACCTTCACATTCCCAGTATTTGCCCTGGGGGACCAGAGGGGCTTGCACTTGCCCCCAGGTGGGGGGCCTCCACCTCCTTGTCAGGCACCACTTACCCCGACTCCAGTCCCAGCCGCCATGCCAGTTGGATTTGCAAGTGTAAGATGTGCGGCAGTCGGCCCACCACTGCTCACAGTCCTCCCGGCACAGCGGCACATCCCGAATTCGCTCTCCTGGCCCATTTTCCACCTGAGAACAGGCATGGCAGGAGATAACTACTAATGGCAGCAATCTGAAGACTATCAATAGCTACAGTGGTACTTGTGCCAGGAACCACCTGCAGATATTCTCTTATGAAGTCTCTAAGTATTATTTTGCAAACGAGAACAACCAGGCTAAGAGGTTAAATCATTTAGCCCAGGCTGCACAGCTTCTGTTCCTACATACAGAAGATGGGATTCAAACGGTCCCTCATCCCGCTGTTCCCATGTGACCAGTCGCCCCAGTGCCATCCCCCAGGGCCTGAGGAGGCTTCCTACCCTTCCCTTTCCCCAGCAGCCGCCTCTGACTCTGCTCTTGTTCCTGGGGGGACAGCATCTCCTGTTGCTCCTGGCATCCTGGAGCTCAGGCCCTTAGGAGCAGGGCTCTGCAGGGACCTGCCTCCCCAGCCCAGGCCTCCCACCTGCCGGATCCAAGGTCCCAGGTTCGGGGAGCACTCGTAGAAGCAGATGGCCTGGAGGAAGTGCTGCTGACAGCCGGGCATCATCAATCCACAGTGAACCAAGCTGAAGTTGTAGAGCAGGGACACATCCAGGTGGGCCTCCCAGCTCGTGTTGGCCGTGCAGCAGGCATTGTCCTTCCAGGGGATGCACTGCAGGTGGAGGAAGAGGCCAAAGGCAGCGGGTGGGGGTGGGTAAGGGGCAGGGATCTGACGAGTGCTCGGGGAGGAAGGTGACCATGCCCCCTAGAAGACCTGGCTAAGTGGGGGTGGTTTGGGGCCAGCAGCCCCCTGAATAGAAGGGGTGCCGATAATTTGTCAGTATTCACACACCAAGGACACCTACAACTGACCTCGTTGCCACAGGCTGCTGAAGGTCCCTTGAAACAGGACCTCTAGGGTCTCAGCTCCTGCGGGGCAGCCGAGGAGCCCATGGCACCCAGAGGAATGTGGGGCTGCACTGGGAGGGAGGCCCCATAGCTGAGAAGGGCTCACAGGTACATGCCAGCTCTGCCCTCCTCCCATGTCCCTATCAGTCGCCTTTGGGAGCTTGGAGAGGGGTCAGTTAAGTCATATGTCTCCCCAGGGCCTGGGTCGGAAGGCTAGAGAAGGAGGACCTTGTCTGACTGACTCTATGCTGAACCAACATGGGCCCCCAGGAGGACCATCTGCCCCTGCTCGCCGAGTGGCTGGGCAGCTGAGAGATGGGAACTCTGAATCACTCGGCAGGCAGGGTCCTAAAAGCCTGTAGTGTCCCTCCAGTGGCCTTTGTCCAAATCCCAACCTAAGGAACCAGACTGGTCAGCATTGATGGGGGTTCAGGAACCATGTTGGCATTTATGTCCTCCCCTGACTCGCCAAGGCAGCCCCCCTCCATCCCCTGGGCCAGGCCTGGCCTCTGTACCTCCTCGTAAAGCTTGTCTTCTGGGCCAGGCTCTGGCTTGTGGTGCTTGGCATCCATGCAGACATTAAGCTGCCTGTCCCCAGCCCAGATGGGCGTGACCGTCCACAGCCCCAGCAGGAGCAGCCAACATGAGTCCATGGCCTGCTGCGGAGAGGGGACCACGTGATGGTGTGGTAGAGAGAGCATGCTGCTCCGTTCCCTCTGTTCTCCCAGGGGGTGGGCATGGGCTCTGAGGCTCCCTCAAGTGACCGTGACATGCTGGCTGCCCCAGGACCCCTACCTCAGGCAGTCGTGAAATGTCAGGGCAGGGGGGCATGAACCTTCTCAGTCTGGCTCCCACCCCCAAGGACTGTACATGCAGAACTAACCCAGGGAAGGGAAGAGACCAGCCCCAAGGCGAGGGTTGGGAGGAAAAAGGTTCCAGCCCTCCCCGAGGGGACTTTTCCTGGCCTGTCTCCTGTCAGGGCAGCCTTCCTAATTCAGTGACCTATGGGCTGAGAATTTAGAGCTTTGACCCTGGGTGAGTAACTGAACAAATGCTTAGTAACCAGGTTGTGCATGAGGCAGAGGGCACGGTGGGACTGGGCAGCATAACAAATGCACCTCGTGGGGTGCCAACCCTGACTCCACCCCTTTGAGGGGTCCCGCAGGGCCCACAGCTCCCCAAGCAGCCCTCCCCAGGTCCCTGTAGCCAGAATCCTTTCCCCAGCTCAGTAGTGCTGCCTCCAGCAGCCTCGGCCCATCTCAGATTCAGGTGAAGGGGAGGGCAGGGCCCGAGTCGGATGGGAGAGCCTTCCACCTCAAAGCCCGATCCCCATTCCATGAAGGGGGAGGCCGACTGCCCCCTCACTGTTTGTTGAGACGGTGTTTCCAGCTCTGTTCTGGGGAGCGCTGGTAACAGGAGTGGAAAGAGAGACCAAAACACAGAGAAAACAAGAAGCAAAAGAGCATGCTGTCTCAAATGCCCAGCACCTTAGGAACGAGGCGTCCCTCGGCCTTCACCCACCCCGGAGCCCAGCCACGCAGGAGCGGGCCGTGTACCCATCACGGGGGGAACAGAGCCGCCAGCCTGGCCCAGGTGCAGAGCTTTAAGCTTGCTGGGGCTGGGGACCCGGCTCCCCCTTCCAAGCCCCAGCGTGTTCTGAAGTCTACCTCCAGGCTGGTCTCTCTCCAGGGCACCAGCTTCGAGCACACAGGCGTGGTCGTGGAGTGTTCCGACAGAATCAGGTGAGTCAGGTGAGAAGTGGAAAGGTGCTGCTCCTTCTGGCATTTTCTTCACACTCACTTTTAAAGCAGGAGCTGCTCCCTCCCACCTCCAGAGATTGTGAGGCTGTGGAGACCTCTCCCATCCGCCCGTTTATTACCCACTCCACTTCCTAGGCCAGCTGCAGGTGCGGAATGCCAGCTGGCCCCAGTTAAACAGCATCCATCTTGCCCAAGTGCAGGGGCCTCCTGCGCGCACAGCCAGGAGGGTTTCGCTTTCTCAGGGAAGCAGAGACCCCCTGGGTGGGTAGGAGCCTGTCTCCTCAGCCAGGGACTTGCTAGCTGGATGACCTTGAGAAGATGAATTCTCGCAGTCTCCCTACCTGTATTAAGGGCTGTTATAAAGGGATTGTTGGGAAAAGAAACGAAAGAAAAGTTCAGGGAAAGAACTTGGCATTGTGCCTGACATTGAGTAAGTCTTCACAGTTTTAATTCTTACCCTTGATCTCACGAAGCCTCTCTCTCCCCTCCCTGTTCCACAGCTCTGCCTGCCCCATCGTTAGCTCAGATACTTGGGATGGGCCACCCGGTGGCTTGAGTGACAGTGATCTCTGGCAGCCCACAGGGGCTGGGTTTCCTGCAGAAGACCAGACCCCGCAGCACAGTGATGCCAAGATAAAGTGGGACCTTGGGGGTGCAGGAATTTCAATGTAAGACTGAAGCCAAAACAAACAAAACCAGAAAGTCCCTCCACAACCCAGCAAACAGCCTCCCCTAGCATACAGGGACCGCTGTCCTGTGAAAGCCTACAAGCGTCCTCAGCAGTCATAATGCTCCCAGCGAAGGAGAGGCTGGGATGAGACTCTCAGGTGAGCCCCAAAGGTGCGGGAACGCTGGAAAAGGAGCCCATTTCCTTGCCTCTTGATTGTAATAAGTTCCTTCTCCAGAGGAAGAGTAGCCAGAGTCCCGGAAGTGTTACCAATACAGGAAATGAAAACCAACAATGAAAGCATTTTACAGTTGAAGACAATGAAGCCCAGGCTGTGTGGTTCAGTGATGCAGCCGATGGCAGACACTGATGCCACCGTCATGCTGGGAAGTGACTTTCTCCACACCTTGGTGGTCACAGTCCCGGGTACCGAGCACCACAGAGGACCTGCACCCTCTGTTCGCAGTCTGCTTACCCCAGAAACAACCCTCAGAGTGAACGCCCTCCCTGTCTTAACTGTGGGGGAACTGAGGCTCGGCTGGGGAGTGGCAGAGCTAGGATGGGAACTCAGGTAGACACAATTGCATAACCCATGCCTAAGGAACAGATGAGGGGAGACCTCCAGGACCAAATGGGGAGATGCTGTCCGGGCCTCAAGGGAAATCTGCTTAAAAAGCAACATGTCAAATGCTACGATCAGATCGTGTTCTGGGAAGCACGTGTTGGCTTCATCTGGGAACAGTGCCAGTGGCCAGCCCAGCCTCCTAAGTGAGTCAGGAGTCCCCTGGCAGGGCCTGACACCAAATGGTAATGGCATTTCTGGAGCACCGGTCTCTTCCCGAGGGCACCCACTCGGCAGGGGAAGAGCAGGTGTGCATGTCCTGTTCGAGTCCTCACAAATATTCAGGAAACTCTAAGCTTTAACAAGGTGAGGGAGTTAGGGTGAAGTTTCAGATGACTCCATAGGGACAGGGACAAGCATCCAGAAACAAAGCACAGGAGTAATTACTGAAATGGAAAACAGGTCCTCTGGCAGATGTCCTTCACCAGGAGGGAAGAAGGACAATGAGGGACTTGCTAACAGTCCCGAGGACAAGGCTATAGGAAATGAGCTGAAATTACAGGAAGCGCAGGTGTCGGGGAGGGAAGAGAGAGGGAGGGGTTAGGAGGCTGTCTCTCAGAGAACCATCAAGCCAACAGCTGCTCCCCAAAGAGGCAGTTTCTGGCCCTTGAGGAAACCTCATTTTTGCCGTATTGTGATTGAGTCTTCCGGAGAAATCTGTTTTCTTGACTGAAAGCTGGTAAACCAAAGCAAGCTGTTTTAAAGCCATTTGAAGCTGCTGATGTCAAACAATTTTTTTCTGAAAAAACAAAACAGAGCACTTAAATTGCCAGAAGCAGAGCTACAGAAGCATTCAGAGAGTTCTAAGGGAGGGTGAGTCAGTCAGGGGCGGCCCAGCCTCCCTGTTTGGGGCCACAGCATATGTAGGGCGGTAAGAACGCCTACCCCCTCTCCTCATGACGTCGCACAAGTGGAGACCCACTGAGTTCAAGGACAGTTGCAGAAAGCAAAGAAGTAATGCCAGAAATCTCCTGGTGTGAGTCTGAAGTCAGAAGCCAGTTGGAGGGGATGGTAGTGATTCAGAGTTCTTGGTGGGTTTTCTGAGTCCTTCCTCTTACCCCAAAATCCACTGGCCAGCCTTGTTTCAGCTCTTAATTGGTTTGCAGCCAGAGCAGGTGAAACGGGTGGTTTATCTCTACCCCTTCCTACCATCTACTTCCATCCCCTCACCAAAGCTGTCAATTTAACTTTCTAAATATCTCTTGAAATCAAATTATTTTATCCCCGTCTCTCCCCCTGGTGTTTAGACCATGGTCATCTTGGCCTCAATCACCATGGCAGCCTCCTAACTGCCCCACCCCGCCAGCTCCTTCAAAGCTTTACCCAAGCAGAAGCCAGAATGAGCTACTTTCCCAGTGTTTTATTATGAAAAAATTCAAACAGAAGGAAAGTTGAATTATACAATTCTCTCACCCACCTCTTACATTTTACCATTACCATGTGTGGATAAAATGAGAGTGCCTGTGGCCAGGATTCTCACCTGGCTCTGGTTGACTAGCTCACTGCACACCTGTGGGCAGTACATGGCTGTTGATTCTATATAAAGATCTCTGCCCAGTGTTCTGGGCACACCACAGTGGCAAGGCTGCAAGGCTGCAGGAGAGCAGAGCAGAAGCTGCAGTGATGGCAGCGCCGAGGACAGAGGCCCAGAGGACGGCTGTGCAGGACAACTGTGCAGAGAGGCCCCGAGGACGGCTGTGCGGGATGGCTGTGCGAGCAGAGAGGCCCAGAGGCAGAGACTGGCCTGCTGCATGCAGACTCACTCTGAGTGAATGGGATTCTAATGACTGACCTGCCACCTGGAAATGAAATTGTGTATAACCCTTCCAGCCCAAGAACGTTTTCCTGTCCTTTTCTTTGGTGACATTGAATCCATAGCAAACATGCCTGGGGCTGAAACCCATTGGCAAGACACCATGTTACTATATTTTTTGTCATACAACTAGCCAACTATCCAACTATCTAGTCATCCACCTGTCCTCTTATTTTTCATGCATTTCAAAGTAAATCAGTGCTCTAACTCCTAAATAATTTGTGCATGCATATCATTAATCAGAGTTCAATGTTTGACTGCAGGGTTTTTTTTTCCTTTCAGAATGATATTCTTAAAAGGTAAATATGGTGATGACATTCCCATGTTTAAAACCCCTCTACACCTAAAATAAATCTCAAATCCTTAACATGGCAAACAGGTGCTGTTTGATCTGGTCCCTATTTACTTTCCATGCTAATCTGTTGTCCTTTCTCTCATCTACACAGCAGGCGTTTGTTGCCCCTGATGCTCTATAATTGCCCTGCTGCGCCCCTACATCTGCGCCTCTGCTGGGTGGTTCTCGCATGTGACGTCTCTCACATCACGGCTCACTCTCTGAAGAGGCGACATCTACTGATCCCGCGGCTCAGAACAGATGGCTTCTCCTGGGGGAAACTGGCATGGACCCCCAAAGCTTGGTGAGTTGTTCTCTTGGGGCCTCACTTAAGCTTGTTGCCACCATGGCGTTGACCCCCTACCCTTGTAAATGCCTCTCGGCTCAGTAATGCTCACGGCACCAAACACAGGGCCTGGCCCAGAGTTTGTGGAGTAAATGAGGAGAAATA